GCATTTAATTCTTTTTGTTGCAATGGTAAATGGGTGTTTCCTTAATTTCTCTTTCAGATTTTTCATCATTAGTGTATAGGAATGCAGCATATTTCTGTGCATTGATTTTGTATCCTGCTACTTTACCAAATTCATTGATTAGCTCTAGTAGTTTTCTGGTGGCATCTTTAGGATTCTCTATGTAGAGTATCATGTCATCTGCAAACGGTGACAGTTTTACTTCTTCTTTTCCAATTTGTATTCCTTTTATTTCTTTTTCTTCTCTGATTGCCAAGGCTAGGACTTCCAAAAGTATGTTGAATAACAGCAGTAAGAGTGGACATCCTTGTCTTGTTCCTGATCTTAGAGGAAATGCTTTCAGTTTTTCACCATTGAAAATGATGTTTGTTGTGGGTTTGTCATATATGGCCTTTATTATGTTGAGGTAGGTTCCCTCTATGCCCATCTTCTGGAGAGTTTTTATCATAAATGGGTGTTGAATTTTGTCAAAAGCTTTTTCTGCATCTATTGAGATTGTCATATGGTTTTTCTTCTTCAATTTGTTAATATGGTGTATCACATTGATTGATTTGCATATACTGAAGAATCCTTGCATCCCTGGGATAAATCCCACTTGATCATGGTGTATGATCCTTTTAATGTGTTGTTGGATTCTGTTTGCTAGTATTTCGTTGAGGATTTTTGCATCTATATTCATCAGTGATATTGGTCTGTAATTTTCTTTTTTTGTAGTATGTTTGTCTGGTTTTGGTATCAGGGTGATGGTGGGCTCATAGAATGAGTTTAGGAGTTTTCCTTCCTCTGCAATTTTTTGGAAGCATTTGAGAAGGATGGGTGTTAGCTCTTCTCTAAATGTTTGATAGAATTCACCTGTGAAGCCATCTGGTCCGGGACTTTTGTTTGTTGGAAGATTTTTAATCACAGTTTCAATTTCATTACTTGTGACTGGTCTGTTCATATTTTCTATTTCTTCTTGGTTCAGTCTTGGAAGGTTATATCTTTCTAAGAATTTGTCCATTTCTTCCAGGTTGTCCATTTTATTGCCATAGAGTTGCTTGTAGTAGGCTCTTAGGATGCTTTGTATTTCTGTGGTGTCTGTTGTAACTTCTTTTTCATTTCTAATTTTATTGATTTGAGTCCTCTCAGTCTTTTTCTTGATGAGTCTGGCTAATGGTTTATCAATTTTGTTTATCTTCTCAAAGAACAAGCTTTTAGTTTTATTGATCTTTGCTACTGTTTTCTTTGTTTCTATTTCAGTTATTTCTGCTCTAATCTTTATGATTTCTTTCCTTCGCTAACTTTGGGTTTTGCTTGTTCTTCTTTCTCTAGTTTCTTTAGGTGTAAGGTTAGATTATTTATTTGAGATTTTTCTTGTTTCTTGAGGTAGGCTTGTATAGCTATAAACTTCCCTCTTAGAACTGCTTTTGCTGCATCCCATAGGTTTTGGATTGTGGTGTTTTCATTGTCATTTGTCTCTAGGTATTTTTTGATTTCCCCTTTGATTTCTTCAATGATCTCTTGGTTATTTAGTAACGTATTGTTTAGCCTCCATGTGTTTGTGTTTTTTACGTTTTTTCCCTGTAACTGATTTCTAATCTCATAGCGTTGTGGTTAGAAAAGATGCTTGATATAATTTCAATTTTCTTAAATTTACTGAGGCTTGATTTGTGACCCAAGATGTGATCTATCCTGGAGAATGTTCCATGCACACTTGAGAAGAAAGTGTAATCTGCTGTTTTTGGATGGAATGTCCTATAAATATCAATTAAATCTATCTGTTCTATTTTGTCATTTAAAGCTTGTGTTTCCTTATTTATTTTCATTTTGGATGATCTGTCCATTGGTGTAAGTGAGGTGTTACAAGTTCCCCACTATTACTGTGTTATTGTGGATTTCCTCTTTTACCGCTGTTAGCAGTTGCCTTATGTACTGAGGTGCTCCTATGTTGGGTGCATATATATTTATAATTGTTATATCTTCTTCTTGGATTGATCCCTTGATCATTATGTAGTGTCCTTCCTTGTCTCTTGTAATATTCTTTATTTTAAAGTCTATTTTACCTGATATGAGTATTGCTACTTCAGCTTTCTTTTGATTGCCATTTGCATGGAATATCTTTTTCCATCCCCTCACTTTCAGTCTGTATGTGTCCCTAGGTCTGAAGTGGGTCTCTTGTAGACAGCATATATATGGGTCTTGTTTTTGTATCCATTCAGCAAGCCTGTGTCTTTTGGTTGGAGCATTTAATCCATTCACGTTTAAGGTAATTATCGATATGTATGTTCCTATGACCATTTTCTTAATTGTTGTGGGTTTGTTTTTGTAGGGCCTTTTCTTCTCTTGTGTTTCCCACTTAGAGAAGTTCCTTTAGCATTTGTTGTAGAGCTGAATTCTCTTAGCTTTTGCTTGTCTGTAAAGCTTTTGATTTCTCCATCGAATCTGAATGAGATCCTTGCCGGGTAGAGTAAAATTAGTTGTAGGTTTCTCCCTTTCATCACTTTAAGTATATCATGCCACTCCCTTCTGGCTTGTAGAGTTTCTGCTGAGAAATCAGCTGTTAACCTTATGGGAGTTCCCTTGTATGTTATTTGTCGTTTTTCCCTTACTGCTTTCAATCATTTTTCTTTGTCTTTAATTTTGCCAATTTGATTACTATGTGTCTCAGCGTGTTTCTCCTTGGGTTTATCCTGTATGGGACTAGCTGAGTTTCCTGGACTTAGGTGGCTATTTTCTTTCCCACGTTAGGGAAGTTTTCGACTATAATCTCTTCAAATATTTTCTTGCATCCTTTCTCTCTCTCTTCTCCTCTGGGACCCCTATAGTGCGAATGTTGTTGCGTTTAATGTTGTCCCAAAGGTCTCTTAGGCTGTCTTCATTTTTTTTTTTTTTGCGTTACACGGGCCTCTCACTGTTGTGGCCTCTCCCGTTGTGGAGCACAGGCTCCGGACGCGCAGGCTCAGCGGCCATGGCTCACGGGCCCAGCCGCTCCACGGCATGTGGGATCTTCCCGGAACGGGCCACGAACCCATGTCCCCTGCATCGGCAGGTGGACTCTCAATCACTGCGCATCTAGGGAAGCCCTGTCTTCATTTCACTCTTTTTTCTTTATTCTGTTCTGCATCAGTTAATTCCACCATTCTGTCTTCCAGGTCAGTTATCCGTTCTTCTGCCTCAGTTATTCTGCTATTGATTCCTTCTAGTGTAGTTTTCATTTCAGTTACTGTATTGTTCATCTCTGTTTGTTCTTTAATTCTTCTAGGTCTTTGTTAAACATTTCTTGCATCTTCTCGTTCTTTGCCTCCATTGTTTTTCCGAGGTTCTGAATCATCTTCACTATCATTATTCTGAATTCTTTTTCTGGAAGGTTGCCTATCTCCACTTCATTTAGTTGTTTTTCTGGGGTTTTATCTTGTTCCTTCATCTGGTACATAGCCCTCTGCCTTTTCATCTTGTCTATCTTCCTGTGAATGTGGTTTTTGTTCCACAGGCTGCAGGACTGTAGTTCTTCTTGCTTCTGCTGTCTGCCCTCTGGTGGATAAGGTTATGTAACCTCATACTTTTGAATTATACTTATCTGCTTGAATTTCACCAGTCCCACTTTGAGAATTTTCATCAGAAATTAAAATGCTAAATTCAGAGTACAGGGAAAAGAATACGTCCTTACAACTGAAGTAAAATATGCTATCTTGGGAAACACTAGCTCTGTTTCAGCTACAAGACTGCCCAGCATCAGCTCAGCCTATAACAATGCTCAGAGTCCCAAAGCAAAGAAGACGGAGCTGAACGTTCCGCTTTGAAGCTGTTGAGGTACAAAAGAGAGAGTTCCTGGAAATACTTTTTATTCTCAGTCAGATAGTAATGTTACAAACAACAAAAGACATTTTCTAAGGCTCACAGTGTTTGCTTGATTTATTTTTAAAATGCACACATGACCCATGCCAATGCAAACACCAACAAGGCTGGGAGGACTTTGCTGGTTCCTCAGGGTTTTCAAAAGAGAGACATCTTAATATCATTAAACCAGAGTCTCCTGGCAAACCCCTTCTGTACAGAATGTGCTAATTTGCCAGCGAACAGGGGCAGGTTCCTCAGTTGCTGGGCACTGCTTCCTTCTTGGTCACAAATTCTTTTGTAGCTCCTGAAGATGAACAAGAAGGTCTCTACAACCTGACACTAAGTGTATAAACTACCTTCAGAGAACAGCAAACAAACTTTGCTTCTGCCAGCAAGCCTCAGCATAGTGTGGTGTAGAAGAACACTAGACTCCAACTGGGTTCCCTGGGTTCCAGCCCATGGCCCACCCCCAATTTGCTGTGTGAATGTGAGCAAGTCACTTACAACTTCCTTACTGTTTTGTCAAATGAAGAGTATAACTAACTACAAAAGTCACAAGAGTGTCGTGAATTAAGAATAAGAATAAATGCAGTAGAGGTGCTTTGAGAAACAGCAGTTTTACATGTTAGACAGATAGCATTAAGCTCAGTCCTTGGACCTCTTCTCCATCTGTACCAGTGGTTTCCAAGTAGGGAAGTTTTGCTCCTGCCCCAGGGGGCATTTGGCAATGTCTGGAGATGTTTTTGGCTCTTACACTTGGGGCTAGGGAGGTACTACTGGCATCCAGCGGGTAAAGGCCAGGGATGCTGCTGAACATCTTACGATGCATAAGATCCACACCACACTGCCCTCTGAAGCAAAAGAAGATGCATCCGGCCTAAAATGTCAATAGGCTTACTCTGTTGGCTGAGAAAACCCTGCTTTACATAGACTCATCGCTTTGTGGATTGCAGCCAGGCTCATAGCATTAGATACCATCCACATGAAATGACTCCCAAATTTTTTATCTCCACCCAAACCCTCTCTCCTAAACTCTATGTCCAATCTGGATATACAGCAGCCTACTTGATACCTCCATCTGGATGCCAATGTACCCAAAATGAATTCCTGATCTCTCCCCACCTCTACCATAGCCTTTCTTCTCTCTGTGGATGGCAATTTTACCCTTTTATTTGCTCAGGCCAAAAACTTTGGCGTCATCATTTATTCCCTCTTACACCCCGCTTCCAACCCATTAGCAAATCCTGTTAGTTCTAGCTAACAAACCAGATCCAGACACAGACCTCTTTTACCTCTGCTGCTACCAATCTGGTCCAAAACACCCATTCTCTTTACCTAGATGATTGCACTAACTTCCCTACTGGTCCCCTGCTTCTATCCTTGCCCTGTACTCTCCACAGGAGAGCCAGAGAGTGATCCTTTTACTCTCTGGCATGAAGTCAGACCACATCACCCCTCTGCTCAAAATCCTTCAGTGGTTCCTTCTGTCCCTCAGTGCAAAAGCCCAAAGCTTCACAAAGGCCACAAATCCTTCCATGATCTGGTTTTCATCCCCTGACTTCATTTCCCTCTACCCCGTTCCTACCCACTCTGGTCTTGAACAAACCAGGTGAACTTCTACCTCAGGACTTGTACTGACTGTAAAATATTCTTTCTCCAGACGGCCTTTGCAGAAACTAAATCTGGCTTTAAAGGGAGTTAGATCACCCCTAAGTATGTTCTACTTTTAAAATACTAAGTATGTTCAAAGGGAGATGTTAAATTCATTACAGAAAAATGGAAAACTCCAGAGACTGTATCTTTTGGCCACAATCAGGAATAGACAGGTGACTTCAAGAGGTATAGGTGCTGCTGTCACAAAAGTGAGTTAATGGAAATTTCAATGTCACCAAAAATCTAAACCCAAGTGACCATGGAGGTTCTAGGGAATCTTTTCCCTTCATAGAGGCTGGAGAGAAAGGCTGATTTCTGTAGCTTCCATAGATAACAGCATGTGGAGAGAAGGGGTTTAGCAGTAGAGAAGTCACATAATAGCTGGCCAATAATTGGCTTGATCCTCATTTGAAATGCAGCAGTGTACTACAGAAAGCATGCATGCTCTCCCTAGCCCACAGCTGTCAGTTCAGCTGATAAAAATACATACCTGAACACTATTTGTAACTAGGAAGCAATGTAGTGGATCATAAGAGAGCAGGCTCAGGAGTCAAAAACAACTGGTTTTGTTCATATCCTTGTTTTACCACTTTCTAGCTGCATGACCTTGGGCAGGTCATGAAACCTGTGAACCTCAAGTCTCAGCAGCTGTAAATAGGGATAATGACAGTGCCTGTATCATGGTTCTGTTGTGTGGACTAAATGAAGTAATGCATGTCAAACTGCTGCCTCTGCCTCTGGGGAACAAATACTGGGGGCTGGGAGGCAGGGAGGTGACTAGCGTTTTTTGTAATAAACTTTGTAGATCTACTTGACTCCTTAAATTATGTACATTGATCATTTTAACAATAAAAATTAAATTTAAAAAATCCTCAGCACAGTGCCTGGCACATAGTAAGTGCTTAATGAACGGTAGCTTTACAGCTCTGATTACTGCACTCCCGTGGCCGCCACCTGGGAGTAATGTGCATTTGCTACCTGTCCCTTGCCAGAGGAGAACACAAGTTGGATAGAATATCAAGTGACACGAGTTTTCCTTCCAGCTTCTCTTTGAGCCATCTTTAAACCTTTCAGGGAAAGGGTCTGCACCTGAGAACGAAGACTCAGGTTTCATGGCAGTGGGAAGGTTATACTGCCCTCTATTGCCATTAGCTCAGCTAAGGACACCAACCACCTGCTTTTGGGTCAAATTCAGTGCGCTCTGAACTGAGCAGATGTTGGGCCCATCCTTATTAAACTCATCCCTTATTATTATATTAAACTGATTGGCTACTTCAAAGTAGATAATAAGATCCACAAGCCATTACATCCTCAGGCCCATATAGCAAAATATTTGCCTTTTCCAAACCTCTCCCTGTAACCTCTACTACATTTCTAAACCTAAACAGAGAGAAATTAACTCTTCCAATGCCTTAGTCAACACAGACAGCAGCAGGTTAGAAGAGAGTTGATTTCTGATATAATAAAAGCAGACTAACTTCTCTAGCTCCAGATCCAAAACACACTAAAGGGTGACTGTCAGAGAGAGAGAGGAGGAAAAGCAGGTGCAAACGTGGGCAGGCAGGGCAGATGGCACTCGGCAGGGACTGACGCTTGACAAGCATGAGGAACCTCTCCCAAAGATAATAACACGTTTCTCCTTTGAACCAGCACTTGGTGGAAGTAATAACAGTGGCTCAGGCTGTAATCAGTTTAAAGGAGGAGAGTATGACAAACACCAGCTCCAAACATTTTTTTAAAAAAATAAGAGCAAACACAAAATAAGACGTATAGTCCAAGTAACAAAATAAATGAATTTGGGATTCTTTTCAGCTCCCCCAGTGTAAATCATTACTCTTCAGAGAAAGGAAGCAAAGCATTTGGGTTGTCCTGAAGAACACCCTGGTGTCACACTCTTATTCCCAGCTGTCCTGAATAAGACCATTTGGTTGGTGTCTTATTCCTCTGTAAGGCCTTCTTAGAAAACATTGAGAAATTGTGAAAATTACTGGCAAGTAAGAAAAAGAAGTACCTAATTTCAATATGACTTATTTTCTCCTTCCACACCTCTACAGATTGTTTTTTGCTACTGTACCACTGTCCAAACAGAAGCTGTCCCAGCCTCCAGAGATGAGTCACAGTTAGAATTCATTGCAAGACTAGCCTTGAGTCCATAGAGTGAACACCTACCCTACTGTGACTGTTTGTCCTCAGAGGCTCTTGGGCTAATCACATAAAAAGCGTTCATTAAAACAGCACCTAATCTTCACCAATACTTGGTCTGATTGTTCACCTGGGACAGGTCAGCCACAACTGAGCTGACAATGAGGCCAGCCAATCTTTAACAAAAGCATGGAGTCAGATTTATGAATCCTTGGAGCAGGTCAACATATACTTGCTCACCTTTCTGACTCCCTCTGACAGCTCTCACACAGGGAAGGCCCAGGCCCTCTGGATGTTGTGGGATGGAGCTGGGACAGACGTTCCCACCCAGAGCTTCCCCATTCTCCCCCCACCACCCCTGCCTGTGGCACAGAGCACTGGGTCCGGAGAGTTTATGGGTTATTCAAGGGTAGCTGGGGAAGGGCTCCAGGGGTGTCCAGTTCCTGGCACTGACAGATGGGCCATTATGTTGACATTCACCCAACCCTCACATAAGATGCATGAAGCAACCTTTTCATTTCATCCTACCAACCTTAGCAAGTTAAACTGTAACTATGGAGACAGCAGGAAACTATCTACCTACTAAAACTGTGGTCATGGGCTTCCAAGAGCGTCATGTTCTTTCCCAGCCTTCAGGGCAGGCAGGGAATTTCTTTAGAGTAAATCAGATCTATTGCCAACTCAGTGATCCCTGATACCAGGGCATCAGGTACTCCTCCAACCCATCCAATAAAGATGGCACCTGGTGTGAACTGAACACACTTGCCCCAACTCTAGCGCTCTAGGGGGCTCTCATCCTTTCCACTCACTCATAAATAAAAAGGGCTATTTATTATTAAGCCCACATGGTTGGTACACCCTGAGAGTTTAAAAAGTTTTTATTTTTACCAACCAGAAAAAGAAATCACTACTTTAAAGACTCAACAAACAGGGGAACTCTTCAAAAAAAAAAAAAAAAGACGCCACACGCAATCCTCAGTTTACATTAGAGCCACTTATCTTATTTCAACTCTGCTTCTTTCACACCTTGATGACACTGCTCATCAACTCAGTTAATGCTTTCGCTCAACACAGCCTCCATCCCAACAGGAAGATCTAAGGAAAGCCCAGGTTCACCTACTAATACCTTTAGTAACGTGGTGCCTGGATGTGAATCCCAGTTCTGCCTCTTGCTAGCTGTGTGATACTGAGGTAAGTTACTTAGCCCCTCGGAGCTTTTATTTTCTTACCAAAATATGAAGATGATACATGTAAAGTACTTGGCACTTACCTGGCACATAGGAACGGTTAAAACATAACTCTAGTATATACCTGATCTTGCCACTTATAGCCCTTCAGAACCTCAAGTATTCTTGCCTTTAAAAATAAATAAATCTATATTCTCAAGCCAAACACAAATGCTTAGAATCATGAATTATCTCTGCCTTAAGGTATTCATTTAAGTATAGTTCCAATTCTTTTCGAAGCCATTTGTAATTATTTCATCCAAATTTTTTCATCAAATTACTTCATCCAAAGGAACACACTGCAACCAACTGAATGTATCTCCCACTGTCCATCACCCGTATCTCCTGACCACACATCCCTTACTCAGTATTCTGCCCTCAGCACTTCAACTGTTCTCCTACCATCATCCCTCCTGTCTTTCCAAATCTGTCCATTCTTTGAAAAGCCCTTTCCATCAACTCCATCTCTACTTCATTTCTGCCTTACGTAACTCTAACCCCCAGCCATGCACACAAATTATACATTTTGACTGTGCTGTGCTCTACTGACCAAATTCATACTTCATCTTGACTGAATTGTATGCGTGTTTCATCTCCCCTACTGTACTGTGAGCTGCTGGTTGGTAGGGATAACTTCTTTTATTCTTCAAGTTTCCTTACTCAATAATCTACACTGCTCTGTACATCAGTGCAGAAATGTGTTAATAAGTACTTTCTGATAACTATCTATACCCTACCCCATTTCTAAGGAGCCCTAAGAGGTGGAGGTGACTCAACTTTAGCCAGAAATGCTTTCAGAGGACTTGCTTTAAGAGGACTGCTTAACTTAAGAAGAAAAGGAGGCTCCGATTTCTCTTTGGGGTCCAAGTGCCATATTCTCAATGCATTATAGGCAACAGTCTTGTATATCGTCTCCAATGAGAACCTTTTCTCTGTGGTTCTTGAAAATGTTATTTCTAAATGATTCTACAGAGTTCATGAAAAAAATTACATAACATACCATGAGTTCATCAACCTCAAGAAATATCTCAATAGCCTCACCATAGCCCAGCCCTTCCAAAAAAGAGCAGCATGGCAGGACCTCAATTAAGGCTGGTAGGTAATCCATTCAAACAACCCCCACCTCACCCTGGGCCAGGGCAATGACAGACTTAAAAGGCATCAGTCCTTAAAGCCCTAAAGGAGTGAAAAACAACAAACAGGCTCACAACTCAGGAAAAAGAGTGCAGTGTACTGGCCAGGAACACCAGCCCTCTCCTAAGACTACAGTGATAGCTAAGCCAGGGAGTTCATAGTTGGGTGAAGGGGCTTCCATTACAGAAAGCACTGGAGCAACTGGTTTTGCCTCCTCCAACTCTCATCTTCCCATTACACTCAACTGCCCTAAAGTTCTCCTTCTAACAGGGCATGCTTAGCCTAGGGCCTATACCACCCAGAACAGTCATACCCTGGAGGGTTAAATTTAAGGAAGAAAAATCTGGAGCAATAGGAACTTAGTGGAAAATCTTTTGTTAGAGTATTAAGATGTGAAGTCTTTCCTCAAATATAAGCCATTTATTGCCTTGCCAATTTACTTCTCTCATATCCTGTATGACTAACATGATTCCACACAATCCTTTATAATGACCATCCAACCAATAAATCAATCCTGTTGCACTACTGTTGAATGAAGTCCCTCTTACTGGTCCCTGTGGAGAAAGAGAATTTATATCACCAAGTTTCTTTTCTTAATTTGCCTCTGGATCTAGACCACATATAAAGCACTGGTCAGAAAAATGCCATTCTTACAAGAGAGTGAGTTGTCCCTCAAATAAACATTATTTTTAAAAATTTGAGGGTGAATGCCAACACAAAGCAAGGAAAGACTTAACAGTTATACGATTATATAGGTGGGAGGCTGGGCCTAATACACCACATTATTAATCAGAGAAGAACGAACAGGAATGTTCACAGGCCCTGCCACACAAATCACCTACAACAGTTAGCGCTTAGCATCAGGGCTTTATTCAACCTACCAAAACCAACAACCAGGAACCATAGTCAACTCGGCGGAGTATGGAAGGTGCTGTTTAATCATCAAGCATAGCGAAACAGATCAAGAAATCAAACACCTAGAAGACTGTCTTAGAACAATCAGAATATTTAAAATCATGATTAACTTAACAAACAATTCTCTCATTCCTCACACATGAAAAGTCAAAATATCACTTGAGCCACTCTAGGTTGTAGGTGAGGAGGTAGATGGGCCATAAGAGACTGGAAAGACATCAACACGAAGACATGCAGACTAGGTAAATAAAGTGGAAGCCCAACAACATTTGGATAGGATACAACATTAGGATAAATAATTGAGCTTTTTTTTGGTCTATTTCCTCAGGAAAAACACCCCACCCAAAACCAAAAAGACACAGCAGGAACAAATTCCAAAGGTGTGCTGTTGCTCTACACTTGGTATATGCATTTACACTGGAAGAATGGCTGGTGATATTTTGACTTTCTTTTTTTTTTTTTTTTTAACGCTAAAGGTAAAGAACTCTGTTCTTTCAGCACCCAAACCAGAGCAGAGAGACAGCAGTAAATTATAAATGTGGATGGAGTAACATCCACAGGACATGGAGATGGGGGAGGGGGGAGGGGAGAAGGGGTAGGTTTTTGTGCTGTTGCATTGGCAGGAGAGCTAAGCAGTCTTAAAGAACATTCTAGGCTTCTAGGTTTGCCATGAAGGAGTATCACAAATCCCAAGGCCCACCACCTACCCCTTCTCCTCTTCTCCGAGGGCACCTACCTTACTGTAAGTCACTACTGATAAGTTGTTTGCGTGACTGCTGGGGGACAGATTTACAGAGTTCTGTGAGAGTCTATTCTCATCTTGCTCGGTTTGGTCAGGAGCAGGAGCCCATGTGTTTTTGCTGATCGAGTCGAACTCGGAACCCCCAGGGTCTTTTAAGTTGTTTTCATCTGATTGTCGGTTCTTTTGGGGAGAGGCAAACGGGTTGAAGTTTCCTTCTACCTTGCGATGTGGCTGTGTGTTGAACTCCGTTTCAAAAGATGACAGCTGCTGCGTTACTCCTAAAAGTCCACCCACCTCCACACTCAGAATGACCCAGATGACATCTGAAACAAAAAGGCAATTCATGTCAATGCCAGGCATACCCTCAAGGCTCAAAGCAGCCACCACAGAGAACCCCAAACACCACCCAAACCATAAGAAGAAATGTTTCTCTACATGCTAGTTTAGAAGCTTACTGACAAAGTTATCCAGTACATTTGCATTGCATGCAGTTCTACATTTTTGGTAACGTCAAATTCATACTCTGGTACAAATTCAGCAGAGGTCTGTGGTGAGACCCATGAAACTATCTGTAAAAAGGTTACTAGTTGATTTTGATGCATAACCATATTTTGGAAATCATTACTCCAGAGAACAATGATCAATATATAGAAACCCAAAAGCTATTTTTCCAGAATTACAAGCTCTTTGCGGTTTTTGCTTTATTTTGTACATGGTTAACTCAGAAAACTCAGGGCAGGCATAACTCTTGAGTCAAAAATAATGCTTATAATTACTAAAACTGCAACTTATCAACACCCCCACACACACACTTTGGGGCAATTTAGAGTGACCTGCCCAAACTAGGACAACTGAGAGTAAAAGAGGGAGTTATTAATTACACCAGGACACAGTTGTAAGCCAGCACTAATCCTGACATATTAGAACAGATATCACCCTGGCTATTTTCACCATCTATGTGTTCAAAAGATACCAAAATTTAGTATGCCTGAGACTTTCTATTGATAAAATAATCCAATTTAATACCAACTTTGCCTTTCTGTCAGATAGGGGAACCCTACCATCTACATTGAAACCATAAGAGATTTGTTTTAAAAGATGCACTGTCGGACTTTTGGTCATAGTTCAGTTCTTTATTTCCTCAACTGTCAAAGCCATGGGTTCAAAAAGAAATGAATAAAGTAAGCGGCACTTCAATTTGATGTTCAGACCTCAATTCAGAGAACAGTGGCATCTACTTTCCTGATGGAAGGTTTTCAAAGCAAGCTATAGAAAGGCCAAGAAGCTTTTAAGTGTGAACCTTGTTGAAAACAAATATGAAAAGTTGTTCAGGCTCCTAAACAAGTGGTATAAGATTGACAGGAAGAGGCAGATAAAACTTCACCAGTTAGCTACATGGAAATACAGTAGTCTCCTTTACCCATGATTCACTTTCATGGTTTCAGTTACCCATGTCAATGGTGGTCCAAAAATATTAAATGGGAAGTGCCAGAAGTAAACAATTCATAAGTTTTACATTGCACACTCTTCTGAGTAGTGTGATGAAATCTCTCACTGTCCTGCTCCATCCTATCTGGATGTGAATCATCCCTTTGTCCATCGTATCCACGCTATATACGCTATCTGCTCGTTAGTCACTTAGTAGCCATCTAAGTTATCAGATCGACAATCACAATCGGGTACTGCAAAAGTGAGAGCCACAGTGAGTGATAAGTACTTAGTTAAGATGGAAAAGGCATTAAATTTGGACAATAAGATATTTTGAGAGAGAGAGACCACATTCACATAACTTTGATTACAGTATATTGTTATAACTGTTCAACTGAATTATTAGTTATTGTTGTTAATCTCTTACTGTGCCTAATTTGTAAATTAGGCTTTATCATAGGTAGGTATGTATAGGAAAAAACACAGTATATATAGAGCTCAGTACTGTCTGTGGTTTCAACATCCGTACTAGGGGTCTCGGAGCATATGCCCCACAGATAAGTGGTGGACTACTGTATAATATATAAGCCTAGAACAAATACACTAAAAAGGAAATTGAAGGAAACTAAGGAAAACTCTTGGGCTGTGTTTGTTCTCAATTTTCAATCTGGGTTCTACAGCTGAGGAAGGGGATCTTAAGTGTCAGAGAGCCATAAATACTCGATTTAAGGTTAGTGATTTGGAAGCTGTATTAAGAACTTGGTTGTATCCAAACAGCTATGAGCCAAAACCTTAGTAAGTAGAGATGCAGTGACATCTACTGTTCACTTCTATAATAAGCAACTCTTTTTACCTCCTGTGAAGAGGAAGAAAGCCACTAGCAACACTAGTATGGATCATAGGAATAGGCATACATCCCAGACACACTTACCATTAAAGCAAATGTGAATCTTTACGTAAACTAGTATCATAAAAGTTCAACCTGGGCTTCCTTGGTGGCACAGTGGTTAAGAATCCGCCTGCCAAGGCAGGGGACACGGGTTCAAGCCCTGGTCCAGGAAGATACTACACGCCATGGAGCAACTAACCCTGTGCGCCACAACTACTGAGCCTGCACTCTAGAGCCTGTAAGCCACAACTACTGAAGCCTGCGCACCTAGAGCCCACGCTCCACAACAAGAGAAGCCACCGCAGTGAGAAGCCCACGCACTGCAACAAAGAGGAGCCCCCGCTCGCCACAATGAGAGAAAGCCCGCGCATAGCAACAAAGACCCAACGCAGCCAAAAATAAATAAAAATTAAAAAATTTATTAGAAAAAAAAGAAAGTTCAACCTGCTGATTTAACACTGTAAACAAAGGCAGAGTACCATTTCACTTAGAAATCTGTAACAGTGCCAGTAATGGTGGGTCAGATGACTTTTATTGAAGACTTGCTCAATCTCATAAACCAATATGATATGGGCCTTAAAAAACAATTCAATGGCAGGCAGCCTGAGGGAGACTCATTCTGTGTTCTCTTATTCTAGGCTTTCTAACCAAAGGCAACATTCCTTCACTCTACTATTCATTTCTTCCAGGCGGATATGCCTTGTCTTACAGTACATTAATTCCTACTTTTGTCTTCCACCCACCTGTTTTCCAAAATCCTTTTGTAAGTACATGGTATGTTTAGCATACTCAGCTACAGGTAATAGTCTTTGTTCTCTTAGCTCAGGAAACTAAATGCTTATGAGAAAGGACAGACTGTTCTGAAGGCTGTTAGCAGTACGAGACTAATGACATTTTCTCCCCTGGCTTTGAGAACTAAAGCTTCTTTAACACAACTCACTGGGCCTTATCATACTTAAAGCCACCACACTCTCTTCACCTTGGCTATTTTTCTGTACTGTTCACAGATTCTACATAGTAGCTGTAAAAGGAATGTCACTGATTTATAAACACCAATAATTAAAATTCCAGTTCTGATCCTCCAAAGTTACTATCGTGATGGGTCATTATGAACAGTACACCATGCCTTCTACATGGTACTCTCTGAGCCCTCCAGGTACTACCTATAGACCTCACATTTCGGAACGTGTTCATCCCACACATAGTGTGTGTGGGTTTCTTTGAATCAAACAATAAAAAGGATGAAGATGAGCCCAATAAGCTTATTTCAGAGGTTGACCATTTCTAGTTCTTGTCAGAACACCTTAATTACTAAGATTAAAACTGCCAGCCAGATATTTCACTATTGCTGATGATAAAATCACAGCTGTAAGGAATCTTAGGGGTCATCTAATGGAACTGCTTCTCTTTCTAGATGAAGGATCTGAGGTCTGGAGGTAAAAGTGATGGGCCTAAGATCAGACTTCAAGTTAGAAGTTGGCCATGATGATGACCAAGAACTTCCAGCTCTTAGTATAGCTTTTTAAACCCGTAATTTTTCTTCCCAACAGGAATTTGGGAAGCCAAGTGCCCAGGGAACGAAACCTATAGTTAAGTCAGTCCCATTTTAGTATCTTTACTGACAGACATATGAAACAAGAATGGTGTCCTAGAAAAGTAGCCAAGAAAGTAAAACCAAGTGCCAAGCCTACAGAGTCAGGGCTTAGTAAGCCAACGGAGAAACCAATTTTAGAATGTCTTGCCTTAAAGTAATTTTTAAAAAGCACCTGAGACAGAACTTTGGAGCTAGAAGGTACTGTAAATATTATTTCATTCAACTTGTCCTTTTTACATATGATAAAACCTTTAATAATAAGTATAAACCTTGTTAATAATACGTATACATTTCCTTTTGTAGAAATGTGTAATAAATTACTGACGAGAGAACATAACCTTTTATTTCTTAAGTTTAGACTATGAGAAGTGTAGAGTAAAAGGAAAATATTTTACTTTGAGCCCAAGTCCATAATCTTAATCAATCATGCTGACATACAAAGACATCTCAGATTATGGTAAGAATATTAAAAACATTTGCATAGGGCTTCCCTGGTGGCGCAGTGGTTGAGAGTCCGCCTGCTGATGCAGGGGACACGGGTTCGTGCCCCGGTCTGGGAAGATCCCACATGCCGCGGAGCAGCTGGGCCCGTGAGCCATGGCTGCTGAGCCTGTGCGTCCGGAGCCTGTGCTCTGCAACGGGAGAGGCCACAACAGTGAGAGGCCCGCGTACCGCAAAAAAAAAAAAAAAAAAAAAAAAGAAAAGAAAAAAACAAAAAAAAAACATTTGCATATATCTAAAAGCTAGCATCATGGGTCAAATCACATCATAATAAATGTAAACAAGTACCTATGATTTGTCCACTAAAATAGAATTGTTAAAAACAGTACAATATTAGAACTGGTAAATTTGTTTCTTGTGGGAATATAGGTTACAATATATGTACAGTAAGGGTACAGGTATACTGGGTTGAACAAATAAGTAAATGGATGGCGGGAGCAAGGTTTTTCGTTATCAAAGAAGGATATTACAGGAAAGCAAGCAAAGAAGGAATTCTAAAATAAACCCTGTGGTACTGGATTAAAGCCAGAGACATCAATATAAACAAAACACAGAAACAATTATAGATATGTCTGTATACAAAGGTTAGTATGTATACATATACTATCTAGCCCTATCTGCTAAGATGGCCTAGAAGTAATGATACCCCGCTAGCAATGAACATACCTAGTGCTCAGAAGTTTCTAAATACTACTCTCCAATAAAAAGAACAAGGGCTTCTTGGAGAAATGGCTGATTCTAGGGCTGGGGCATGGAAAATATAAGAAAAGCCTGGAACATCTTGTTGTACCAGAAAGTAAGGAAGTGGTCAAAACACAAAAGGATAGGGGCAGGTTAAAGGGATACAGGAGCCACCTGAAAGAGCTCCCTCTGGAGCTGGAACAATCTGGGCAACAAAATAAATAATGTAG